ACTGCAATGCCTTATATTAAAATGACAGAACATATAAACTTACAGTGACGTATACAAAAAAACATTTTGTCATATTAAAATCTGAATTGATAATGAATAAAATTTGACCTCTTTGTTGTCAAAGCATGTCAGCACAAGAAAAGTGAATAAATCTAACAAATCAATAAGTTTCTACCTAAAAGGTCCACAATGATGGAGTTTCCTAGCAGCAGAGAGAATCCCATGAGCACCCATGGGAGGAAGGGCGCCTGGAAGTTCAAAAGGCCAAAGAAATTCATGCGCACGTTTGGGTTCCTCCTGCTCCAGATATACACCAACATGATGGTAAAAGCCTGACCTAAGAACACAAGATTCACAAACGTGCCAAATATCTGCACAACTATTAAGAAAATCACTATGCATTTGAGCAAAATGTAACACAAAGGCAATGTTTATGTTTAGAAGTCTTGAAATAAGGGAATATTGTATGTATATTTAACAAGTTTTAGCTGATGTTTCTTCACGTGATTTTATTAAACGCAAAATGAGGCCAAACAGATCATCTTTCATGGTTGTTTCTATATTTGTTTTGTTTACGTGTCAAGGTTAGAGTAAGAGAAAACTCATTTTGCATTCAGCAGACTTGCAAGCTTTTTACATATAATCAAAGCATATTAAGATATTATATGTTAATAAAAAATGCCTAGATTGGAACATTGCCTTCAATGCAATATGTATGCTCAACTATTACCATTTTTTTTACACTTATTTTATTCAATTCATGTCCTTTTATTTACACTTTCTCCTTTTTATTGTAATCCAATCTGTTTCAGATCTTAAATGATTTTAAACTTTTCTGTTTACATTTTTTTTAATTATGCCTATGTACACTTTAAGGATTTGGTATAGAAACAATATTCATGCTAGTAAATTTTACAATTTATTAGAAAGAAATGCCAAGTAACACATTGACGTTTTTTTTTATTAAAGTAAAAAGACCGAACTTAAGTTGGACTGTGACACTTTTTTCTTCTGGAAACAAACTTGGTTGCATTATTTATCTCTGTAAAGCTGCTTTGAAACAAACTGTATTGTAAAATACAATATAAATAAAGGCGACTTGACTTGAAATAGTATTTTCTTGTAAAATGCGCTCCAAAAATCTTCAAAATAGTCTTCGATTTGAATGGCATGGCAGCAGCTAAGGCTATTCTTAAGGCCTGTTCACACCAAGACCGGTAACTATAAAGCTAAATGATAACTATAATAGCGTATAAGTATAATAGTATAAGTGCACGCAGTAGTTTTTAAAGCAAGCTGTTTAAAGCAGGACGTATTCTAATCGGCTGTCAATGTTTTTATCGTTCATCAGCTGAAAAAAATTGTTCTGCAAGTGATTCCAACAATATCATTCCTCTGAGACATTACTTTTTTAGTTGTGGTTTTGGACTCTGCTATTCTTTATATTTATATTTGTCCTTAGTGTGAACAGGCCTTGATGGCGATGGTGAGTTACTTTACCACAAATTACATTTTTTACAAATTGTATAAATAAAATTATTCAAAATATTTTAAAATGCATGTACAATAAAAATTCTTAAGCTTTTTCTGGTAAGTTCTTATCAAACGAGAGCTTACCACGTAAAATCATGTATCCCTGGCCTGTGTAGAGCATTTCGAATGATCATTGTGAATAAAATGTGCTAATTAAATACATAAACTTGCCTACATCTACATTTTAGTCTGCCATTTTCGACATCAATTGCTGTTCAATACAGATAAATGTGTTTCTCTTTTGAGAAAACGTGAAGGATACAGTCATGAGAAGGCCACCGAAGAGGAACATAAAGACGAAGTCAGCGGTTCTCCCTCTGAAGGATCCCTCCTCCAGCATCCGACAGTACCGGTACCTGTGAGACTCCGGTTAAGGAAAATCAGACTCTATCCCTTACACACACTGCCACCTTCACAATCTACTGATTTACTATCAATATATTATGTTTTAATAAGGATACAAAAATATCATGTTGAATAAGAAGTTGAACCCAACCGGACCAAAAAACAAAAAGTTGGTTATTATCCGCCATACCTATGGACACACACACACAAAAATAAATAAAAATCACATGCTGCAATATTAACCCTATAATTATTAACCCAACTGTATCATATCTGATACATGAATTTCCAAGGCCTCTAAATTATCAACATAAGTTGATAATTATCAACGAAAGTATCAGCATTTCCACCAAAATGTAAAGCAGCACAACTGTTCTCAGCCATGGTAATAATAATAATAAAAAGAAGAAATGTCATCACATGCTGCAATATTAACCCTATAAATACGAACCCATACTAGATCATATTTGAAACATGAATTTCCAAGGCCTCTAAATTATCCATATGATCAAAACTCACAAACAACTAGGCCTACATGCCTTGTCATCTGATTGATAGTTTATACTTTTTCAGTAAGTAAAAGGCCTTTTAGTATAATTCTAAAAACACCCCTTCGGGTCGTGATGTATGTGTTGTTGTGAAATCTTTGATGATTTTTATAAGAATAACTATCAAGATGAACTTTTACTGGACTGTTTAGGCTCATTTTTAGAAAAATCACATGTTAAAAATATGAGTATCAAATTTGATGCAACAGGCTTTTTGTGGAATTTGTAATTATCCATCTCTTAATCATCATTGTATTGCATTATGTTTTGCCATCCTCATATCCAGAGCTTTGATCATAAATCTAAGCATTTAAATATCATCCAACTAAGACAGAGAGATATACCGGTAGAGTGAAAATGTATCATATTTATATGCAGTTTATATAAGGAGTCTGTTAAAAAGATCTCACTGATTTATTTACATTACAACTAGAGAAATTGCATATTTTTGTTCAGTGTGGGCCTCTGAATAAAAGTATGATATTCTCAGTATATCATACTATATGGGCCATAAAAGCCTGATGTATCAAAGAGTACACAAACCATAAGACAGACATGGAAACTTTTTTTTTTTAATTCTGAAGGTTCAATAAACTGTTCCATTTTTTCTGACTATGATTGTATATGTGATTGTACATGATTGTATAATGAATACAAATTTAAAAACCGAGGCACAAAACTCTTCAAAGAAACACAGATGATGATGACACTTGCCTGATAATTCCTCAATATTAAATCTGGGTTGAAGTAAAGCTGGAAAGGTGTGATGAGTTCTAATTGCTGTGAACACAAAGTAAACATCACAGTCAGATACGAATGACATGTTGTAGGTAAATGTTACATTAATACTACACTCAAATAATAACTGAAATCAAAAGTAAAGTTACTTTTAGCAGCTCGTGTGAGGTAACTTAAGTCAGCTAAATGAATGTAAACACAGGAATTAAGATATGAAAATGCAGAAAGCGCAACTGGAAACCAAACTAAGTGATATATAAACCTAGACCCATTACAATTAACAGGACTTAACATAAATACACATTTTACAGGCGGGTTTTACGTAAACGTGTCCTAATAACACCACAGCCAGTCTGCCACAGGAGGATACCAGCTGTGTTTCAACTGCATAGGGACGAGGCCACGGATGACAATAGCGCTCAAGACCCTAATATTCGTCCAATTTACTTACCACGGCTGCTGTAGTGAGTACGCAGGCGGTGGTATAAGCTCTAGTAACCACAGGAATCTGTAAATATTCCTGTCGGATTGTCTGGTATGCCATTTTTTGGAGGGACAACGCGGCTTCCGGCACCTTCTTGACACGTCATCACCTGGGTAAGCAAATGAAGGAGGCGGTTTTAGTTTGTGATGTTTCCAATTGGTCAGCACATTGTGAATTCACTGCTCGGATTGGTCGTCTAAAGTGTCGATCATTGTGTTATCCCGGTCATTTGAAGAATGGCATTTTTTGATTTGTTGGTGAAGATTGTCAATAAACGTATGCAAATATTGTAGTGTATGTTGACAGTGTCACCTTTGGACTCCCTATTCATGACATGCTATTCATTTATATGCTCCCTATTCATTTATATGCATAGGTTATATGGAAACTAAACAAATATTATTCATAAACAAGACTTTAGGATATATTTTTAGACTGGTTTAACAAAGGTTTAAAGTTTGTTACAGACATTAAAACAACCAGGTGATATATAACTACTACAGTGAATTTGATGAAATTCTTGGGATAAATGTAACTTTTATTATTAATATTTTTGGCATGATTAATACTGTTCCTGATATGATATATAAATATTGGCAAAGGCAAAGCTCATTTATTGCTCTACTCTCTTGGAGCATCTAGCTCATTTCTGTCTTCCTTTATTCTCCTGGCAACATTATTTTAGATATTTAGTTAAAGACTTTCTTATTGTTACTTCGTTATACTAAAAGCAGATTATTATTAGGCAACAAAAAAACTGTATCTAAATATTCATTGTTTTTATTATTCTTTATTATGTTTATTCGTATTCTTCTTCGTCTGACTCATAGGGTCTGACTGGATCTCACTGCATCAATTTGTATATGCATATTTTGCAGTAAACCTAAAATATAGCCTATACTGTTTCTACAATAAATATCTTTAAATCAATAGGTGTTTATTTATCCATCGTTTTTAATTCATTACATCATTCACAATGATTGATGGGATTGCGGTTGTTTCCCTCATTAAAGCCATTAACTACACATTTTTTGACCGGGATTGCGGTCTTGTATATTTGTATTTTTGTCCGATTTTCAAATACTTTTTGCTTCAAATCAAAGTTTGTAATGTTAATTATGATTCAGGTTTGTTATCGAGGACCTTTTTTAAATCCATATGAGAAAAATGCGTCACGAACCAATGGCTCATGGGTTTGTTTCGTAAAAAGGTCAAGTCGATTAACTATGCATTTATTATGTAATCACATTTTGGAAATATATTAATTCCGCCGTTTACGTGTCTCTGTTCACACAACTGTGCTCCCAATCAGCAGGGGGCGATACTGCAACTGCAGTTTCCAACGCAATTTCACGCATGAAGAAGGTTGAACTGAGCGCGGGCTGTAGAGATGGCAGAGAGCGGAGGTAACACGGAAAAGCTTATTTATGTTATTTTTATCTGTAACTCTAGGATGTTAGAAAGTATTTAGTAAATTTTACATGTAGATACATGCTATTGTCATGGTTTCATACGGCTAGTTCTTTAATATTTTGAGAAATAGCAGTAATTTAGCCCTTTGAAACTACGACAATGCTAACAAGCAATCTTTCATATATATATATATATATATATATGTATATATATATATATATATATATATATATATATATATATATATATATATATATATATATATATATTACGTTATATATATATATATATATATATTACGTTATTATATATATATATATGCGCGTGTGTGTGTGTTTATATATGTATGTGTTTATATATGTATTTGTATGTATGTGTGTGTGTGTGTGTGTGTGTGTGTGTGTGTGTGTGTGTGTGTGTGTGTGTGTGTGTGTGTGTTTATATATGTATTTGTATGTGTGTGTGTGTTTATATATGTATTTGTATGTGTGTGTGTGTTTATATATGTATTTCTATGTATGTATATATATATATATATATATATATATTTATTTGTATATGTGTATGTATATATGTGTGTGTGTACCGGTCAAAAGTTTGGAATCATTACTGTTTTTGAAAGAAGTATCTTATGTTTACCAAGGCTGCTTTTATTGAATCAAAAATACAGGAAAAAACAGTAATATTGTGAAATTTTATTACAATTTAAAATAATGGTTTTCATTTTAATATACTTTAAACATCATTGATTTATTTGATGCAAAGATAATAAAAGTATTAATTTCTTAAAAAAATAAATAAAATAAAATATATACCCCAAACTTTTGAACGGTAGTGTATATTGTTACAAAAGGTTCCTATTTTAAATAAATGCTGTTCTTTTTTTTAATGTATTAATCATCAAAGAATCCTGAAAATAAGTATCATAGGTTATTAAAAATATTAAGCAACACGACTGTTTCCAACATTGATAACAACTGAGTATTGAATCAGCATATTAGACTGATTTCTGAAGGATCATGTGACACTAAGACTGGAGTAATGATGCTGACTAAAATTCAGCTTTGCATCACAGAAATAAATGATAAAGTATTTTAAATTGTAATAATATTTCACAATATTACTCGTTTTTCCTGTTTAATCAAATAAATGGAGGCTTGACCGGCACTGTGTATATATATATACATATATATATATATATGTATATATTTGTGGGCTTCAGTAACTTGTCTTTCTTATCACTGTAGTTTCAGTGGGATCGGAATCCCTCCAGCTGTATGAAGCACAGTTCTTCGGCTTCACCCCGGAGACCTGCATGCTACGAGTTCGTGATGCCTTCCGAGACTCTCTCAATCACATATTGGTCGCAGTTGAGTCTGTGTTTGTGAAAAGATTGTGTCCGGGCCATGACCCGCCAGCAGAGCTCCGACTGACAGCTCGAGAGAGCACCCAAAAACTGCGACAGTTTTTACAGGAGCGCTTCGAAGTCATGTTTCAGCGCATGAAGGGGATGCTGGTGGACCGCGTCCTCTCCGTTCCTCAAAACCTCCTTTTGCCCGATGACCAGCTGCACCAGAAGCACCCAGAAGGCAAAGAAGAGCTTGCTAAGCTGCAGGACTCCGTCGCGAAACTGCTACAGGCTTATGAAGCCGAGGTGTGCGCCAAGCAAGCGCTTCTCGCTGAGCTTGAGGAGCAGAAGGAAACGCAGAAACAGATCGATGAAGTGCTGAGATGGATCGAGGAACTGCGTCTTTCGTGGAGGCGAGAGGGAATGGGAAGTGTCCAAGACAGCGTCCGACACATGATGGAGGCTGTGGGCCAACTGCAGGACGTAGTAGGAAAGATTAGAAAGCAAAATAAAGGACTGGATGAGGTTTGATGCTTTATGTGTAACATTTGAACAAGAGCTGTGGTGTAATGGCATGATCCATCCACCAGGGGGAGGCGGCGCACAATCTATTCGGGGCAATAACATTAACATACATGTGCCACGATCAGTCCAGCTTCAAAGCAATGCATTTGTAATCAGGCGATTTTCCTCAGATTTTCCTCAGACATTTGAAATGCAGTCCATCTCTTCTTCCTCAAAGTCGCTGGGTTTTCTCATTTACGATTCAGTGCCTTTGATGTTCAGTACAGTTAGATCTGCGTTAGATTAACCCAAATGTCCCACAGGCCCAAACTGATGTGTCCAACGGCCTGACTGGCTTTACACTTTACAGCAAGTTTTATGTTCTTTGAGGATATATTTTAAGGTATTTTCCTTGATGTTCAGAGGAGAATTGGCTTGCACCTCATCGCCTCATCACCTCATCGCCGCCACAGGAAGACCTAAAGTTTGTTCACCGTCTCAATCTTACAGTACTTGGATTGAGATGCAAGTGTAAATTTGGGCAGCAAACATTAGAAATAAATGTAATAGACTAATATACTTGTTTTGGCCATGACTGTAAATAACAACAAAAAGATTTTTGTGTTTGTATTGTGATGCATTTTTTACACAAATAAAACCAGTATACTGAAACCATTTATTTATTTTTATTATAATGGAATGTATACAGTGTATATATATATATGAAAATATATAAACATCCTTAAAGCAAGATAACTTTTAAATATATTCTCTCAGAAATAGTTATCTCAAATTATGATTGTGTTATTATTTACACACCCTCATGTTGTGCCAAAACCTTGATGTTATTTTATTTCTTCCATGGAAGTTGAAAGTAAGGATTTTTAAGATTTTTATGCAACTGTTCCCTATGACAGAAAAAAATAATGTCAGAATTTAAAATTTTATAGTGTCAATATAATTCTCTTCATACCAGTGTTTTTTTTTAGTATTATTGAAATAATATATATATATATATAGTTTTTATTTCAGTTTTTTTGTTGTTATTTTAGTGCATCAAGTTAAAACATTTAAGGATCTTTTAAATATTTTATTTCAAATAATTTATTTTTAGTTTGTTAATTATAACAACCCTGCTTCATAGTTGTTTTCTCAGAATGTATATTAGATCTAAGTACATTTGGTATTCCTTATTTTTTTTTAAATATTTTATTAATTGTATTGTATTTATTTATACCTCTTTTTTCTATTACATTTAGAAAGTGAAAAAAAAATCAGTGGATGACAGATTTAAGTACACATCTCTTAATATCTTCTCAGGTAAGGCCATTTTTCATGTTTTAAGAATGGTTAGAATTCAAGATAAAGATGCTTAAGATTAAGATTTGTTGGGAGTGTTCACCTTATGATGTAAACCACTTCAACATCATTACACCCAATGCAAGATGGAAACCCAATGACAATGCAATTCTCATGTAAAAATGAATCATATCTCTGGATTTGCTGGAGGGCATGCACCTAAACAAGGGCTGAGAGACAGACACAGTGGATTAGAGGAGGGAGACCCCCACAACCTGCCCGGCTCTACATCTGCCTCTTTCATCACTCATTAAAGACGTATCCAGACCAGCTGGGGCCATCCACGGAAAAGTCATGCTTGATGGAGGCGTCACAATCCGGACAGCCTGCCCTCAATCCCCCCTGCCAAGTCAGATTAGCAGGGTCTAGCAATAAAGACCCCTTATCTCCACACAACCACGCACTGAAAAGCTGGAGTCAGAAAGCCCTGCTTGAGCCTGAAGATACTGAAGTGATGAGTTATGAGAGAACAGCAGAGTGGAACGCAGCTACATTTAATAAGGTTACAGCAGAGATCTTCATGATTAAGAGACAGATTGACTACATTCGCACGCAACGAAACCAACGAATGGTATCTAATGTCACGAAACACTGAACGATTGTATTTATGTTCACCTTGACCAGTATTATTAGAGAAGCTACTGTTGGTTTCCAAGCTACAAGCATATTTTAAAGTATTTCAAAATGCTTGAGTGCGAAAGTTTTGAAAATGTAGCTATGCTACAAGCTACTACATTTTATATTTGTGTGGGTATATATATACTATCAGAGCCGATTTATTATGAATGAATCAGACGTTTCAGTGCTACATGTAAGACTGACAGAGAGCAGTTTAGCATGAATCATTTGGAATAATTCTTTCCAATATGAGCTACGTACTTTAATGAATCTGACCAATGCTAGGCCTATCTGGAAGAGAACCGTTTAGAATGAACTGATTCGTAATCTTTCATCAAAATTACCCCTCCCTCTTGCAGCGACATCTCTTCTCTGATGACGTGTTCAGTGCTAGTGTGGGACAACCTGTCACTATGCTTCCATCCAAAGTAGTGAATTTCAAGATTTTTTTAATGCGATATTTTGCGCATAAGTTAAATTCAGATTTTTTTTCCAAATCAAGATTTTTTTATGCGCATCAATGAATGTATTCGGTAAATGTGTTTTCATCGTTGTTTATGTGCATGTTTTCTTATTGGATAAAGAATGTATCTGACTCAAACGAGCGCATACTCTTTGCGCATTTTTAGAATTTATGCACATCTTAGCGTTTTTATCCAGCGTTTTTTTATGTATTTATATGTATGTTTATATATATATATATATATATATATATATATAGTCTATGGAAGGCGTAGGACCATAAAATGTTCGTCCAGTCATTGCATTCGGTCCGCCGTCTCTTGACGCTTTGGGGGGCTTTCACACTTGGTTCGATTGCTTGTTCCGAACCCGAGTTCGATTGCTCCCCCTGCCCCTGCCCCTGCCCCTGCCCCTGCCCCTGCCCCTGCCCCTGCCCCTGCCCCCGATGGACTGTGTTCACAAATATTATTTGTATCCGAACCGCGGTACGCTTGCGTCATCAAGCTGCAGCTGGCGCGTAATCATGTTGCTTGGTAACCGGCGCCGCTATGAATGAAAAGGCGTCAAAATGGATGGAATTGCTCGCTTCACATTTGTTCTTCTTTTTTTTAACCTTTGGTTTTGTTTTCAAAGAAAAGATACAGAAACACACTTGGGTATGTCTGCCGCAAAAGTACTAAAATCGTTCCAAAGACAGCTGGCTGTCAGCCGAAGACAATTTTTGCGGAGGCAAGCATAAATCATCTCTCTGCTTGCAGTGCGTCAATCCCGCTTTTCGTCAAGGTAAGTGTACACACACACACACACACGCACTGACGACTGTCCTGGCGACCACATTATACATTATACGTCATCAATAGCGGTTCACTTTCAGCGGTTTGGTTCGATTGCGTTCATATCAGCATCGAACCGTACTGGAGTTCACATGAACCGTACCCCAGACCACCTTTTTAAGCGGAACCGAGTACGGTTCGCGGGTACGCACCCGAGTTCGGAAGACAGCGTTCACATCATCCAAACGAACCGAACTCACGTCATTCGAACCCGGGTGCGCACCAAAAGTGCTAGTGTGAAAGCCCCCTTAGTTAGCTCCCTGCTGTACACGTTCATGTGTTTTGAAGGAGGTGTGGCTTTGGAGACGCTCTGAAGGGAGGGTGTGATTTTATGCTTTCAAAGCTAGCTCGATATTGCCTCTCCGGAAATTGTCTACCCTACCTTTAACTAATGTTTTCAGGAAAAATGAAATCCTCTCCAGGAGGAAAATAACCCAAACACAATGTAAGGGTTAAGAAGATACACTGCTTTAAAAACAGCTGAACTACTGTCATGCTACTGAAAAATATAAAGTAACAGCATTGCTACATTAATCTAGTACATGCATCAAAACTTCCCTTTAATATATCCGCAGGTCAATGCACTTTATGTTGCCAGATGACGTTAATTTAACTGTTGCCATCTGAAACCAATAACTTTATTTTACATAATGTGCCTATCTTCTTAACATTCAGTGATTAGCATAAAATAAAAGTAAATGGCAAAAAATCGAATGTTAGAGGTAATTTCATTTTTTAAACTTAACTCCTAACAACATCAGAAAGTACTGCAGTGAACAATAAATAAAATATGCACTACTGCCTTGAGAATCCCCCATTACTCTCTGAAAGACTCTCCACCAGAGGCAAACATGCTTGAGCGTATGAAGTTCAAAGCTCTTTTTTTATCCTCTTGTGGTACAAATGGGGAAAGCGAAAAAAAGACTATCTATTTCATTTCACTCAAATCGGTGAACACCAAATCTTCCCTCCTGCTTTATGCATAGACCTACCAGATCATTTGTGCAAGGATGTGTGAGACATAATCTATCTTAAAATTAGTACCAATTTTTTTTTAGGTAAAATTAGACTGTGAGAGACGTCAATACGGCCAAGTGGCTCATGCGGGCAATCAATAGACTCTTGAAAGCCTTGCTTGCAACAGCTAATCTACTCCTTGCACAGTCAGAATGAATCAATTCTGCATACAGATTATCCATTTTAAAGCCAGCTCAGGGTTTTCTTAAAAAAAAAGACTATTAAATAAATCTATACGTAGGCTACTGACGCAATCATCTGCACAAAGATTTATTTATTTATTTTATACCGTTTAATTCATTCAGTAAAGGGCAGCCAAACAAAGATATAAAACGCGACTACATGATGTTATTGATGTAGAAGTGCTCTTTTTGCATTCACCTCAAGTGTTTTTGTTCAAATCTTTTGATACAAACAGAGCACAGCCCACTTCTGTCCCTATTGCATTGCATCACACCGTCGGTGCAAGATATTTCTTTGCTTTGGGGATGTTTGAATCATCTGAGGCAGGGCATCAAAGTTACGTGAAACGAAACCTTATGGCACTATCGATTTCCTCACAGAAGGTAAAGTATCATATCTGAGCTAAAAATAGTCCCTCTCTGGCCAAAAATCAAGGTTGCTTACTGAAGGTGTGTTTTCTAAATGTTCATAAACCAGGTTTTTGTTAAATACTTCTTCCAAAATTCGGCGATTTTGCGAATGATAAACTAAGCTTTAGGTTGGCACACTGGCGATGTTTGCTAAGGCAATCATGACTTTTGCTCATACTTCACGGGATAGTTCACCCAAAAAATACAAATTCATTCAGCATTTACTCACCTGAACTTCACTCTTCTCCGGAACACACACAAAAAAAGGTATTTTGAAGAATGTTGGGAACCAAACAGTTTTGGTGACCATTGACGTATGAAAAAAACCCAACAACTGCGACATTTCTCTAAATATTTTTTTATGTTCCGCTGAAGAAAGAAAGTCATGCAGTTTCGGAAAAACATGGGGGTGAGTAAATGATATCAGAATTTTCATTTTTAGGTGAACTTCTATCCATTTAAGGTTAGAGATTTGAACTAACTTGTCACCCTTAGTATTACACTTCAGTACAGTTAGATACAAACATAAGTGACATGACCTCAAATCATG